TTCCTAGCCTGTGAGCACGCACGATAGCATCGTCAGGTAGCTGCAAGTTTAACGTAGAGGTGAGAATCAATCGGACCTTTTCTTCAGAATCGGCCCAAGTTTCTGACGCTGAATCTTCAATTCCGTAGAAAATCAGGTTCTCACGACGAGACCTATCCTCGAACTCATCCAGACGCGCTCGGAGCGAAGCCTGTTCACTTCGAACGGCGGTGGCTATCATTTCCTGCACGTGAGAGCCGTCTAGAAATTCTTCAAACGAATCGACTCGTTTTTCTAGATCAGTTAGCCGAGTCGTCAAATCTAACACTTTGGACTCAAGTAACTTTTGGTTTTCTTTCACTTCGTCTATGGATTTAATGAGGGTGTCATGCCGTTGGTCAAGGTGTTTTGTTAAATCTTGAATAGCCAGAAGAACGTCACTGCTCTGTTTGCTAGGGTCTTGTTTCGGGGGACCAGGGTTGAGCTCGACGTCTCCGCTGACCAACAACATTTTAGCAACAAAAACACACTCCACAACGGTACAGGCAAGAACACTTGGGCATGGGAACAGCAGCAGAAAGAGGTTGTTTGAGCGTTTAGAAAAAAAAGGGGTGGGGCGGGACCAACCTGAACAAAAAGACAAAGGGGGTTGTCAGCCGCCGGCATCACTGCTGCGAACCAATGCCCACTGAAGGGCGAAAGGTTCCGCCAGCCGGTTATATGGTCCGTCTGCCTTGATGACGATGTCACACTGGCTTCTTCTGCGTAGTGGGGTTTGAATGTTGCGTAAGGCGGCCAACCATGGTCGACGCAAGGTGACGAGTCAAACAAGGGACATGCGTCGATCTCGGGAGGCAGTCGCAGTCGATCCGCGCAGGCAGCAATAAACATGCATATGCAATAATTTGATAAAATGTCGCCATAAAAGCTAAGTAGGAGGTATTCGATCAACAGGTTTATATGGGCGGCGACGGTGTGTGCTCTCAGTTGCGGTATTTTCACTTTCCCCGCAAATCGTCTTTTTTCTTTTCTTTTTGTAGCGAGTGCTGTACGCACGTGATTGTTGTATAAGGCAGCGAAGGCTACTTTATGCATTTTAGGTCACCCTTGAGTGCTATATGCACGACGCCCATTGAGTGCAGATTATATCGTGTCTTGCAATACACAGCTGACTCCAGCACCTCTCGTGGAGTTGGCCAGTAAAACCAGGGGCGCAGCCAGAAATTTTTGGCGAATGGCAGTCCCGTTCACCCCCCCCCCCCCTCACACACTCCCGTACAGCTGTATCACATCCGCATTGCTTACCCCAGCACCCTTTTCCGTTGAGTTTATGGTACATTGAGTCGTTGAACCTGATAACGGAAATGCGGTAGTTGTTTTGCACGATGCGATATGCTTTATTCCAAGCCAGTCTTGTCACACAGGGCTCTCGGCAAGCTAATCCCTCCGGTAATCTGGTGGAACATACGCCCTGACCACTGGCCGAACGCGAAAACCTATGAGCGGTATTAGCATCGTTTCAAAATACCAGCCGTGGTTTCGAAAAAAAAAAAATCTAAGGACTTAAGTTTGTTTCGAAAGCCCTAGATCTAGGACATCTAGGGAGCAGTCGTCGTGCCGCTCTCAAGTGCAGTGTACATGCGTACGCTCTGATTGGTCAGATCAAGTCACGTGGTGCGCTCGCTCCCTAGCAGACGAGAAATGAAACGTACAAGCCGGCTTCAGAAGGCTGTCGCAGGTGTTCGGAGAGGCTGCGTTGCACGTTTCGGCGACTCTTTCGATTTTGGCGGGATTTGCGAGACTCGGAACCCTAATGCTTGTACTGACAGATTCGGCTCTGCATTTGTGCGTACGTTCGAAACAGGCGGATACCATCGACGTGTCACAAATGGCTGTTCCTTCTGTGAGGTGCGGTGCCAGGACCACCTGTGCTCGTACGGTTTGAAAACCTCTACACGTGTGAGTATTGCGAGACAAAGGCGCTTCTGCACCTTTGTTCGTTGCCTGTCGCTTTGTACGCTGGATGCGTAGTTGCATTTGCGTAACGCTGAAGCTACCGTGTAACTTTATTAACTAACAGAACTCCGGTGAATCTTAGCAAAGAAATAGAAAGTTTTCGAATAGCGTATTAGAAGATTTGCGGTAGCGTTTCGCGCCCCTTGCGTTGCGTTGTACGCTGTTTGCTGGCTCCCGCTAAGTCACGCAAATAGCGGGCGACCGCAAGGCTCGCTTAATTAGCGTACGCTATTCGAAAACTTCCCAGTGTCTCGTACCCAGGAGTTTATTACGGATTGTGTGTGTCCGCAAGCGTGCTTGCGGACACACACAATCTTGCAATGTAGCAATAATACACAATATGCTTGCAATGTAGGCCTATTGAAAACGACGATTAATGATAGTTCCGCCGCTTCTACGCCATTGCTGTTTTTTTTTTTCCTGGTGAGAAAGCTGCTTTTGAGTGGTGCAGATAATAGACAGTTATAGTTTAGCGTTAGCGTGATAGCGTAGGTTAAGGGAACGGCGTCACCGTGCAGCATACGTTCGTTGTGGGCAGCGTCTTATAGTTTAGCAAAATAGCGTTTACGTGCCCCAGCTGGGATGGTGGCGCCATCTATTATATAGCTAATAAACTAAACAGTGAAAGTGAAAAGAAAACGAGAATGTTTGCCTATGCCACCGCGCGAAGCATTGGTAAAAGTTTATTTTAGTGATAATAAAAGTAAATAAATATGAACCATGCACCAAACGCGAAAACATCCATGTTGCCCATTTGTTTACATCGATCTTGTAGTCAGGCCTAGACGCGTTCGAAATGGGAAGCTATCTCAAAAACTACGCCAACTTATCCGTAATATTCGGTCATAAAAGCTAACTGAAAGCAAGCGAAGCCACTTTGAACAGTCGTTTGCTGCGAACAAGGTGAATCTTTCAACAACTACGCCAAAATTACTTCGAAGCGGGTTTCCGAGAGCGCCGCCATGTTTACGTACACTACGTACACCTACGCTACCACGGTAACGTGAAATCTAAAAAAATGCAGAACGGGTGACGTGCGTATCTGCGCATGCGCACTTCGATTCCGGTATCACGGTACACCCGGTAAGGCCGGTATACTATACCTCTCTAATCTTTGTACTGACTTACCTTATGCAGTGCACGATCAGCTTTCGCTGCTGCTATAATCACGCGCACTGTTATCTGAATGTTAACGTGCCGTGTCATCACGCCACGGTGGTCTAATGGCTAAGGTACTCGGTTGCTGACCCGCAGGTCGCGGGATCGAATCCCGGCTGTGGCGGCTGCAATTTCGAATGGAGGTGAAAATGCCGTATATGGATTCATGCATTTGTGGGGTTTAACGTCCCAAAACCACCATTTGATTATGAGAGACGCCGTAGTGGAGGGCTGCGGGAATTTCGACCACCTGGGGTTCTTTAACGTGCACCCAAATCTGAGCACACGGGCCTACAACATTTGGCCGTATATGGACGTGTGCTCAGATTTGGGTGCACGTTAAAAAGGTCATCGAAATTTCCGGAGCCTTCATCGTACTGCGGCGTCTCTCATATTCATATGGCGGTTTTGGAACGTTAAACCCCACATACCAATCAATCAATCAATTGGTGCTCCACGACGACTGCATCGATGACAATCGGATTGCTTTTATGTGAACATAACGCGGTAGGAACCTCTCTGTGCGTGAATAATGAAGAAGCGTACATGTGATGTTATGATAATATTAATGCGACATAGGAAACACCTCGTGTCCCCACATGCTGGTGTCACGTGGACACCATGGCACCGAACTTCGCGTCCACTCACGCTTCACTCTACATCACGGAGTACACGCGGGGAAGAGCGATAGCGTCTTGCGCATAGCCTCAGAGAAGGACGCGACCAAGTTTCGGAGGCCAGGTTCAAAATCGGCCTGTAGTGACGTGTCCTCGTACTCCGCGCTGGGGATGAGGAACAGAAGGGGAAGTGAGAGATTTTTCGGAAGTTAATGATCATTGGCGATTACACCCTGGGATAACTCTCATGTGACGCGTCGACGCCACTTGCCTGTACAAAGGCAAAAGCCGTCCTATCTGCTGCATGCGCTTTTTGCGTTGTGCGAATGGAGCTATCCTCTCATATGAAGGCCTCATACGAGAGGTTGGCAGTAATTATGTAATAAGTGAATAAATCAATGGGTTTGTATTGGTGCAAAAGTAACCACGAATCCACAACAACAACAAAAATTGTAAGGATAAATATTTTAACGAAGTGCGACGGGTAGTTTGAAACCACAGCAGAATAGAGCGCAACGAAGCCAAGTGGCGGGACACCGAGATAATATTTACGATTCACGTAGAATTTCCTAGTTAACTATTTTTTTTTGTTATAGAGAGAACTCGGGCGCTGCGATCGTTCAGCAACCCTAGTGGAGATCAGTGGTGGGTAGTACACGGGTTTGCCTAGTATTCGCACTTCGTTTATTGCTGTGCTTCCGTTTGGTTTCGAAGAAAAGAACGAACCGTTTTGAACTTCTTGACCCGATTTGAAATGGTAAGTCTAAAAGGTTAAGGTAGTGAGGTGTAATTGCTGAACATTTACCGACTTTTGTTTCGTAACAAAGCAGCCCCAAGCCACGCGAAGCCAACCGGAGCCAAAAGTACAAAAATTAGACAAATCCGTGCACTACCCAACATTCCCATGCTTGCTGAAGCGCCGTGCATTGCGGCTCTCTAAGACACTAGTGCCAGAGTTCCCTCTAGTGTATATATAGGAAAAACTCTATGGCAGTCCATCACCCCACGTCGTACAAAAACTAGACACAGTTTAGCATATCTAACAAGTGTTATGCCATAAACAGCCATTGTGGCAGGGCCTCGCCAGCGGTAGTCAATCGTTTATTCGTCCACTCTCATAGACGTCAGCGCACCATTTAATGACGCTACACGCGCTGTCCAGTCCCACCGAAGCTGACGTCAGCGCATCATTTGATGACGCTGCGCGCGCTGTCCAGTCGCGCCGAAGCACACGCTCGACGTCAGTCGCCCACCAACGCAGTCCTGAGGAAGGTCAGCAGTTCGTAATTATCTTGGGAACAGTCCCTGGTCAAGTCTCCTAGATGAGCGTCGTAGATTAACCAGGACATGTTGGTGCGCAGGTTGGCGCTTTTTTTCAACAAGTCCACCTGCGCAGGCGAATCGCCGGGGCTGAGAAATGGGCGTTGTATATCGGCGTGCGATACATTACATATACGGGTGTTCCGACCGTAATGCAGGGCTCGCAAAAATTGTTCATTCGTATTGAAGAAGTTTGATTGATTTGATATGTGGGGTTTAACGTCCCAAAACCACCATATGATTATGAGAGACGCCGTAGTGGAGGGCTCCGGTAATTTCGACCACCTGGGGTTCTTTAACGTGCACCCAAATCTGAGCACACGGGCCTACACTATTTCCGCCTCCATCGGAAATGCAGCCGCCACAGCCGGGATTCGATCCCGCGACCTGCGGGTCAGCAGCCGAGTACCTTAGCCACTAGACCACCACGGCGGGGCAATTGAAGAAGTTGTATATTCAACATTTTCAAAAGGATCACATGTATATGTATCTAGGGAGTAAGCAGTTGGATTTTTCGGGGGAGGGTGACCCTTTAAAATAGTCATTTTTCGCTCTGTATGCACGGAAAACAAAACAAAAAATTGGGGGAACCTTAAGCTTCGCCTTTAAAGGCCAACTCCCGCGATTTTTTGACCATGTCAAGGTTATGGTGGTGTTTCTATGTTCCTGAGCCACTCTTGTCACGAGCTCAATAGCTGCAATGCTCAGGAAATTTGAAAATAATTTTTAATAAGCAAGAATGTGCAATACCGAAACCCAACCGAGCGTCCTGTCTGTGTATGACGTACTATTTGGTAGAGCCGGAGGCCGTACACTGGTTCCGCCGGCGCGAAGTATGAAAACTGTGAAAGCCAGTCCAGCGAAGCACCGGCCAAACACCACAGAGGAAGGAAGAAAGCATTCCCGTGCTATGCCCGTGCCAAACACCGTCGCCTCGTGGAAAGCAAAATAAACGCTGTAGAGGCCAAAGTAGTGATGCCATCGGCTGCGTCACTTCCGTTGACATGCCAAACATGACGTCACACAGACAGTGTTGCCGATAATTCCGGCAAGTGGGGTGAACTTTTCTAAGCAATCTTTAAAATTCATTTGCAAATGATCAGTGCATCACTCAAACCCGTGATTTGGCTTGAAGGACTAAAATGTGCAAAGAAACATACCCAGCGAATTTCATTGAGATTCATTGACCTCGAAAAATAACCGGAGTTGGCCTTTAAGAGTTGAACGTGATTGCGATATTCTGTTCCCATTGCGCATACTTCAAACACTTAGTGTACAAAATGTTTTAGAATTTGTTATGCACCCACTACGTGGCCTTAATGGTGCAGTAGCGTGTGTGCCTTTTATAGTCGGTGAGGCTTTAAATTGTGAAGTCATTAGGATAATCCCATATTCTGACGCCCGATGGAAATGGGCGCCTGTAACAAGCATTATTACGGGGGGGGGGGGGGAGTGTTTATGTATAAGAAGCAAAAGAAGAGAAAAGTGAGCCCCGCAACTGTCTGCATCAGGGTGCGACACCTCAGCAGTAGCTCACAAGGAATAGGGTGTGTGGAGGGATTAAAAGGATAGGAATAAAGGTGTAGAGAGAGAGAGAGAGAGAGAGATGAGGTAAGCCAGCGAGCGACGACATATCGAGGGGATAGGAGAGACAGGAAAGATGGAAACACGGTCACAGGAATCCGAGGATGGGGCACTACTTGCGAGAGCTCTTGTCGGCGTCAGGAGATGGCGTAGAGCAAGTCCAGTTAGTCAGAGCTGCGCTGTCGTCGGAGATCGGCGTCAGGAGATGACGTAGGGCGAGCCCAGTCGGCCAGAGCTACGCTGACGTCGGAGATCGCGAGGGCACAACCGGTCGGCACGGAATCCAGCGAGGGAGTCGCATTATTACGGCAACATTTCATGTTGTATTGCGAAGCGTGTATACAGGACACTTGTGCTTGTAAAGCGTCAAAGTTACTTTAGCTGCGTTTCCAAGCAGATTAAGTTATTTTCACTGTATTCACAAGCGGAGGCGTGGCTGTGTGATAGAACACGCAAACGACCTGGGTTCGATTTCCACTCAGACCCTGTACTTTTTTATCATTTATTTTATTTGCATGTTCTTCCAATTCTTGGTCACGCAAAGCTGATGATTTTTCTCTCCCAACCAACGACGCCGGAATTTCTTGGAAACGAGCTCTTTAACGCTATCCCGTTAAAAAATTTCGGGGGAGGGGGGTGCTGTATTTTCGAAATTTTCAAAAGGATTACACTTATATTTATGTGTATCTACGACATAAGCAGAAATATTTTTCAGGGACGAGGTGGCTGGGCACCTTTTTAATATGCCATTTTTCGCCCTGTATGCAATGGTGAAACGCCTTTCAAGAGGAGAGGGGGGGGGGGGGGGGGTGCACGAGCCAGGTGTGCCTGGCCACGTGACTGATACGCATGACGGGCACATCAGAAGAACCACAATCTAGTATTGTGCCTTCCAGATGGAAGCACCGCTACCGTAATCTTCAGCCGAGCTAATGGTAAAACAGCTGTTCCGTGATCGACGATATAGTTGTAGCGCGAGAACAGAACGACGACCCAGAGACAAGATGGACGCAAAGGACACATGTCTCTGTGTCGTCGTTCTGTTCACGCGCTATAATTATCATCATGTCATACCAACTAGCCCAAGCTGCCACACTTCCGTGATCGAGCTCGAAGAACGCACTGTGCTGCGATGCAGACAATCGACAGCTACGCTAAATGCATGCAACGAGCTATAGATATTGAGCCCGCCAGGTATTATCATGCGGCCCCAAGCACGGTGTAACTTGTCACTATCTGTCACATGCCTCGTAGCTTACCATCTGGAGGCCGACATGGTATTTGGGACCTTAAATATATAGCGTTCGCGCTTGTAACCTGTGTTTGTAACCTTGTGACACACGTACTGATAGTGAACATGGTTTCTATTACAGTTTTGTACAGCAGTGCCAATACGCCGTATTTTCCCTCTTTGCCATCGACCTTCAATTTTTATTCCTATTTTTTTTGTTATCTCTATATTCACGCATATATACTTCCTATTTTTTGGTTTTATACGTGTTTTTTGCGTTATGCAAATCACAGTGATTATTTCAATTCTATTTTTTTTTCGTCTTGATGGTAAGACATCAAGATGGTATCTTTCCTTGTGCCTGTTCGTTCTCGTCAATACGCAGTTTTCGCCCTGGCACCACTACTTTGTCCGTCGTCTTGAGGATTCGTAAGTGGCTTTCTCACCCCCCCTCCCCCCGCACACACATACGCGCGCGCGTACAAACGAACGGAGGAATACGTAACGGTAACGCAATCACTAACCTTTTTCTGTAAAGTATCCTGATCGTCCCAGAAGTAGATAACTTCCGGTCTGTCGGGGATGTAGCCGACGTTGAAGTTGTCTTGCAACTTCTTGAAGGGGGGGTCGCCCTCTATTTTGCATGGCTGTCACGAGAGAAATGGGGGGGAAAAAAGTAGAGTTTTTTTTTTCTTCTTTTGACACTACCGCATCTAGTTACAACTTAAGAAATGAAGACCAAGGCAGCTTCAGCCCAGTGTTGCCAAGTGCGAAGCAAAGTGCGGAGCCGGGCAGCTGTCTTTGTTTCTCTTCAGTTTTCTCTTTCTTTCCTGCGGTCTTTTTTAGTTTTATGTTTTCGAGCTTTCGTTGTCTTTATTACTCTTTTTTTCTCTTTGTTCCCATTTTTCTTCCTATTTTTCCCCTCTGTTTGACGCTTCTTCTCTCTTTTTACTTATGCGTGGTTTTGCGCGTGTTACGCTGAGCGGCATTATACGACAGCGCCCTAAGTGTTTCGCACTGAAAATGTTAGCTCCGCCCACAGAACCACGGCGTGTCTGACCTTCACCTGGCCTTGTTTGATTACTTGTTTTAACTTGATTAGTAACTAATCACTCAACACCCTTTTGACCGTAATCAATGAATTCTTATTGAGAAAAAAAAATCCTAGTTATGACACGGCGATCCTAAGTGATAGCCGAACGATGATGAAGTGATGATAAGTGATGAACGATGATAAGTGATGCGATGATCGAAGCTCACCACTACGTCCAAACTGGTGACGTAATAGCTCTTGCAAATGGCGTAGACAATGCTGAAATTCAACGGCCTCCCGTCGCCATAGGCCAGTTCGTACACCATCGTTCCCAGCTCGAAGGAGAGGCCCAGCTTAGCTTTGGCGTTGCTGTAGCTGACGTTGTTCGCCACGAGCGATGCGTGCCGCATCTGCGCACCACAAGAGTTTCGACGCATTTCGATCAGTGCACGAAGCTTGCCGTTCGCATACCAGGTCAGTGGGCTTCTGCTGGAGATTGCCCTAGCCTTGCAAATGCGTCATGCCGCTTGAGTTGCGTGGGTTAAAAACTGGCGGGGATACATTATTAAAAAAAAATTCCGCCATATCCACGAAGTGAATGATGAGTGGGCGAAGCTCCGGAGGTAAACCTGGTAAACCATGAATCCTCTGTACATTTTGCCCACTCGATTTTATTACATCGCTCCCCCTAGCGTACGTCGCCGCACTAAATCGAACGATTGCCTTCAACCAATGACACGCGCCATATGTGACATCATTCCTATTTTATAAGATCTCGCGTCTTTCATCAACTACAAGTACCGCTTTCTAGTTTATAACATCTTGCATCTTTTCATCATCAGCTACAAGTACCACCATCTAGTAAACACTACAAGAACTAAACGAGAGGTGGCTACATACAGGAGACGGTACCGCCATCTAGTGAACACTGCAAGAACTAAACTAGAGGTGGCTACATACAGGGGACGCACAGCCCACGCCCTAAGGAGCTTCGCCCCTAAAATATATATTTCTCAAGTTTAAAAAAAATAATACTCTCTTGTAACTTCACCTATTTTCAGCTAATACATCGGGCTTTCAAATGAAATATCGTGCATATTTTTAATCTGACCACCAAGCCGAGTTTTTGACGCTGAATACGAAGCTTTTGTCCAAAAAAGTAAAACTCGCATTCCCCCCCCCCCCCCCCCAACAATCTATTATAACTTCAGCGCCTAAATTGTTTTCAACTTGTAGCATGTGAAACAGGCCACCAGCACATTTTTTTATTTGTGTATTTTCAGCTTGCTTTATTCTCGGAAAAAAAATATCAAGTTCGGCAAATTTATTCAATATTGCTTGTGCGAAAAGCCCTCAAAGAAATAATGTACATACGTAAGTCACTATTTGTACAATTAGATTACTTCATTAACTTGCCACAAATACTATTTTAACGAGTGCATTAGAAAAATGTCTTTTGAAAAAAAAAATTCCGCCATATCCACGAAGTGAATGATGATGAGTGGGCGAAGCTCCGGAGGTAAACCTGGTAAACCATGAATCCTCTGTACATTTTGCCCACTCGATTTTATTACATCGCTCCCCCTAGCGTACGTCGCCGCACTAAATCGAACGATTGCCTTCAACCAATGACACGCGCCATATGTGACATCATTCCTATTTTATAAGATCTCGCGTCTTTCATCAACTACAAGTACCGCTTTCTAGTTTATAACATCTTGCATCTTTTCATCATCAGCTACAAGTACCACCATCTAGTAAACACTACAAGAACTAAACGAGAAGTGGCTACATACAGGAGACGGTAGCGCCATCTAGTGAACACTGCAAGAACTAAACTAGAGGTGGCTACATACAGTAGGGTGCCTTGATGCCCGCGCGCTCCGCTGAGGGTGAGGACAGCCGCGTCGTCTGCTACGACGGCCGCCATTACGGCTCCTGCCGTAGTGGGGCAGCATGCGAAGCGCATTACCGCTTGCGGTGCTCGCGTATGGTAGGAAAGAAGTACTCGTTGGCGAGCTTTTTTTTTTGGTGCAACTTGGACACCTCTTAGTGCTGTTGTTGCCTAATTGTTAAATGGAACAACGCACGTCATACAAACTGGTGGCCTGTGCTTGTACAATGCGCCAGGGGCTGACATAGACTGAATGAAATGAGCCACGAACTCCCACACCAGAAAGATTCGCGTTAAACCGTTGTCGTCGTTAAGACGGAGGGGCGCATGAACTTTTATTACTACGCTTGCTGAAAGGAATGCAATATTTGGGTCTTTGTGAATCAGCCGAATAGCAAAGGCAGGAATCGCTGTACTTTATATACTTGCGTGTGTGTGTATATAACACACACACACACACACACACGCACACGCACACACACACACATTATCTGACATTCGGTACCACCTTCCCCTGTCTCACCATTTCATGCACTGTGCAGGCAGCATACCCGAAAGTAACATGCTTTACCAGTGTACCTTTATGAAACGACACCCACGATTTCAGTGAACAGGCCATTTATTTGTGCGCCTTAATGCTGCGTTGTCCCACTAGTGAAAATCAAAGTCAGATACAAGACAAACCAAATGCAGTACGAAATGAAATGTTTAAAAATAAAAAATGCAAGAGTCAAAAGCGTGCCCACGTGAGCCGAAACCTTTTAAGCATACAGCTTATCTTGGCGTGTCCATTTCTCATGAGAGGTTGACGCCGGCACATGTTTTGCTTGCATGTCCATTGCAACTCCCGACTGGAACCTGCCGAAGGTGAATGCGCAGCCTTATTCTTGCGTACCTCTCTGTGAGCAGTCGGTATATACTGTCCTCGTGCTCCGCGCATACACACAAGCTGCGGCGGTGCACCTTGTTTAGGTATGCGGTGAGTGAACGAAGCGGCGACTTCATCGTGACTACTTTGTCCGTGCACCAAGAGTTTATGGCAGCAAAATGCTCCTCATAGTCTATCAAGGCTTTCATAACTCCCTTGCTGGGGTAGATGAGGTTGCCTCCATCTGAAACGTACTCTTTCAGTGCTGTCAGCGAAGCATGCTCGTCGTTGGCAGTTCCAAGGAGAGCATCTTTGCATTTTGCGCACTTCACAGATGTCAAAATTCCCTTCAAAATAAATCCTCCTAGGTAAAAGAGAATACTGCATTCTGTGGACGACAATCCTTCGATGAACAAAATCTCTGAATCATCGATTTCTTGAGCTTCCTTCTTGACGCAGGCTTCCTTCCCCTGGGATAGCAGGTCCACCAGGTACTCCCTGTCATCAAGCTCGTAGCTGGTCGTCCTCGGTGTATGCAAAAATTGGCTTACGCTCACCAGTCTCAGAGCGCACTTGAGATCGTAGGCATTGGGAACCGGCTTCATAAGCCGCACCACAGAAAAGAGGTTCTCTAAGCAGTCCTGCAGGAGCCTGCTCGTAAGAAAAAACTCATAGCCTTCGTCTCCTAAAAGAACGTCTTGGAGGCGAAGTACAACTGTAGTTGATATGAGTACACCTGCTTGCGACGGTTTCCAATGGGATGTGGCACCCATTTTCATAGTTCTGATGGTTTCTATTGCTGTGTGTAATGTATCTAGGGCTTCGGAGTACTTAGCCCTACTTCTCCGACTCAGGGCCAGTGTTGGATGCCGCGAAGACATCAGTGCATACCATTTTGAAATCAGCTCCATGAACCAAGCTGTTGTTTCTGCTTCCTGTTTAAGAACTCCTTCCTTTATAAGGAATCTGATAGCTGGGGGAGCTTCCCGAAAAAGTTGTACAGCGACACCAACCTTCATTTTGGTGAAGTGGCCTGCGCTGGTGTGCATTTCGGATAAGTTTGGGGCTACCTTCAGTTCTCTTTTAGAATCTTCTTCGAGCACAGCCTGAACATATTCCAAGTTGACTTGTGAAGAAGGCAGGCCATGTTTGGCAACTGTGGCCTCACTCAACGTGAAAACTTCTGAGCTCAAGAGCTGGCCTCTGAGGTTCTTCAAGACGTGAGCCGGATCAGCAATGAAAAAAAGTTCCTTCCCGTCCATGCACGGATGAGGTATGGAGCACACCGTGGAAGAATCTCTGTGACTGGAAAAGGCGAATTCCCTCCACATTGCGCGGTTTGCCGAGCCCATGTCACATGTGATTGCGTGAACTCTCAGATATATTTGACTGCACAGCTGTACTAGTTTCAACACATAGTTTTTCAGCAAGCCGCCATCGATGTTTCTTCCGGTAAATTCATATGCAATCACCTGCTTCCATCGCTGGTTAAGTCCGCCCAACATAAATACCAGAGCATGAACCGCAGGCTCTTCAGGCTTCGGAGGAAAAGTTATTCCTCCGAGAAGTGCGTCTTCAGCCCGATCTAGCTCAAACCCCGGCACTATCTCCATTTCATCCAAAAAAAGGACGCAGTCCTTTTCTACATCCTCCATGGTCTCGGCTTTGCATTTCATAACGTCTATCACTTCGTGAAGAACGCCTGGGAGAAACTTCAAATTTTGAATCCTCCGTGCGAACGTTCTTTTGGATGGGAGAGGATATCCCATTTTTCTCAAAGTTTCATATCCGGTTGTTCCACAAGCAAACTTAATTTGAAGGCCTTGCTTGACAGTGTGCGGAGACCAAGAGTTCCCCAAGCTGCTGCTCCTTGAGAGAGCGCGTACTTGATCGTCGTTGAGAAATTTCATATTTTGCGAAATATTTGTTGCCTCAGTCTCGAGTTTTTGCACTTTTTTCTTGAGACCACTAATGGTGTTCTTGGCTGTGTCATGATGTTGCTGAAGTTCAGAGTACTTTCTTGTAAGGTCAGCAAGCTTCTTCTTCAGTTCTGCTGATTCTGCAGTAGAATTTGATGTCTCACCAGCCGCCGCATTAACTTCTCTTGAATCTGCATCACTAGTGATCGCTGACAGTTCAACAACGGCGTCGTCAACTTCCATGGTGTCGTGCCCATAACACGATGTTCCTTGCCGTGTAGATTCAGGAACGGCGTGGTTTTGTGGGGTCTCTAGGGTAGTTTTAACTGCAGCTGGATATTGACGCAGACCAGGAGGAGATTTGTTGGTCTCGTTGCTGGAGGGTGCAGGCACAGTTCTTTCTTTTGGTGGCTTTCGTTCCTTAAGCAGTGCTGCAAGCAGAAATGTATGTATTCATGAACATATTCAAGCAATGCCAGTTCATGTCTAGCTTGTTAATTTTACAAATGTAACACATGCAGCAGATACCGGCTTAGTTATTGACGTGAGGAAGACACTTGTCCTTCCCCCGCCCTTTCCACAAGGGATAGGGGAAGGTCTTAAAATACCATAATTAAATTGTGCTCAAAATTTCTCCCCACAATAAATGGCTCTAATTCAAATTGGAGCTTCATATGCCAGAGCTACACGTGTGCGCCGTTGTGGAGGGCTCAACTGACATTCGCTCCC